TTTTTTAGATGTTCGAAAATCCTAGGAGAGGCAGGCAAGCAAGAAATTTTACAACCAATGTTCCGAAAATTCTAGATCTCAAATCGTCTTCCGAACAGATATTTTCCGAAAATTGTCGTTGGGTGCCCCTGGAAGTTATCTATCCGATCGGCGTGAAAAGTAATGACTCCCATTCAGGTTACTCTCTAAGGTATCTATGAGACCCTTCCTATAATCAATGTGATTTCAAAGCGCGTGTAATATTCGTATAAGTACAGTCCCCATTTTCAGCCACTGAACGCAAACTTCCCATTACTCTAATATATAAAATTATACTTACTTTTTTGACAAAACGCTCCACCGTATCCTGACGGGCACGAGCACCAAGCAGCAGTAGGACCAGCGCACTTCCCTCCGTTGCGGCAATAAAGTTCTTTGCAGACTTAAGATAAAGGGAAAAAATGAGTCACCGGTATACAGTGTATACGTAAAGGTGAGTAGCGCAAATGCATGTACTATATGAAAGAATTCTAAGGATTTGCACAAAAATTTGCTCCAAAAATGTAAAAACTGAGCTGTAAATATGGGCAACGATGGTAAATGCCACATTTACCTAGACCAATAAATTTTAAAATACGGGATGTAAATCAGAGGCAAATGCGGCATTTACCATCTTTATCCCAGATTTCCCTCTCAGTTTTCAAAATTATGCCAGCAGTTTTCATGTTTTCAGGCAAAGCATGAAACTCTATGTTTAATGCCCTTGACTTGCAAATGGCGTACTTGTTTACCGCATTTTACATCAGTTTTTATAATTCCGGCTAATCTTTCTTTAGAGGTTTATTGAGTTTCAAGTGGAACGTACTTACCTCCACATTCTTTGTGAGTGCAATGCTTGATGAGCGCCACCCTGGTTTCGTTGCATTCACTGGTCGTGGCGTTAAGATCACAGTTAACATTTTCGGAAAACATTTCGCAGTTTTTCAAGACCTTTTCCATTCGTTCAAAGCACGCCAGGCAAGAAGCTAAAAATTCAACAGACAAAACGTAAACTGAAACAAAAAAGAAAGACTAATCCGGGAGTTTATGTGAAAAGTTCATGTGAAATTGGGTGTTGGCATTGGAACAGAAAAATAACAGTATTACTAGAAAATTTAAGCGAAAACAACTGAACCTTGCAGGTATGTATAAAAGTATACATGAAATGAGAAATTATGCAACATTATAATATTATGGTGAAATAAATAGCACGATATTTCGCCGAGAAACTAAAAAAATACAGCGTCTTTGGAAAGAAAATTACGGGCCACAAGGTGACGCTTATGCTAATTAGCTCTGACCTCACTTGAATAATATGACAGCGTCACAAGATAAATTTGTAGAAAATTGTTAGTCGCTCTGTTTTGCTTAGATATTAAAGAAAAAAATATTTCTACTGTATTATACAAAAGAGACAATTTTCCTGGCAAAATTACACTATTAAATATTTTTGAAAATAATTATGCAGAAATACTGTATGCCTTAATTTTTTTTTTGTTTTTTGTTTTTTGTTTTTTGCGGAATGTTATGGGTTTATTATTCCTGAGACCGCATATTTTTTTCTGAAATTTTAATTTTGGCCCTTCCCAATGAGGTATAGCTTTCGAAGGCACTGTAAATAACAGCACAGATATAATTTTTTAAAAGGTACATGGTAAATTTGCCAAAGAAAAGGAAGACATTGAGTTCTAAGGATTAGTCGCAGCGACACTTGTAAAATTCGGCCCATGTAAGGGAATCTAAGACAATCTTGGATTCTGGATTCCACGTCGTGGATTCCGGATGTCAGGTACTGGATTCCGCAGCCTTTGTCAGTGGAAGTGGAATTCTGGATTCTAGTTGTTAGTAGGATTCCGGATTCCTGGAGCTGTATCTCGGATTCCACGTGCAACAATTTCCCGGATTCCGAAATCCGGAGTCCCTTTCATGGGTGAATGAACGTTTGTTGTAGCCAATACTGAAGGGATAACACAGCATTTGGCTGTTGACGTATTCCTGGCCCGCTGAGGCAAAATACAAGCCTAATAATCAATTTATCTTTTGATTGTTGAGGAAAAGGAAAATTGATTATAATCATTTAACATCAGGAAAAAAGTGCTCGCATGTATTAAGGATCCTAAGATGCTCGAGTAGAATACGTCATGTGAGAGTAAGGATTCCGGCAATTTAAAGGATTCCGCTAAACTTATGTTCTTCGATAAGCAATTATTTCGGTGTTTTCAGCTATGCCCTGCATCATTTGTACACACTGTCACTTTTGATGCATGTTACACCAGTTTTTTTGACAATCAATACAAACCTTTTGCAGAGTGAGCTAGACAGAGTCTTTTCAACTTTTCTTGATATCCATCACAAATGTCATTGAAGCTAACCGAGAGCTGCGTCTCCTCGGACTGAGCCCGGCAGTGTTCGGCCGCTTCGTATGCTTTTTTCAAACAATCCTCATAAGTCAGGTACTACCGAGATAGACAAAGAAGATAATAACTGAGTAAACGTCATGTACTTACTAGGTGAGGTAACCTACTTATTCA